TTGATAATAAATCACCAAACAATAAGACCTTAATCCAAGGCCATCCCACCCAAATAAAATTCTAACCAAATTAGGCCTTATAATTATTAAAATCATAGAAAAAATAAATAACCTTAATAATAAAATAAAACGATTAATATTCTTATCGTTCTCCATATAAACTATTCTATACAATATAATTATTGAAGAAATTAATAAAACCACCCTAATAAATAAGCTTGTAACCCAATCTACTAACACTACTATCTCTATATTCAATGAATTTAAATTAAAAAATAACCACTCACACATAATCCTCAACTCTCAATAATATAAATACAATCCTTCTAAATAAAAAAAAATTCTCAATATTAACATAAAAAAACTATACACATATAAATTAATTATAACTTAAGATAAATCAATTTATATCTCTAATCCCACAAATTAATATTTTAAATTTTAAACTACTTAAATTATATTGCCCTTCCTATTATCACAGGCCCAATTTTTAATTTTAATTTTACTCCCTAAACATCCTAATAAAACATAATTAAATTAAATAATAATAAAATCAAAGGAATAAAATGAAAAATCAAAACTATAAAATCTTTTAAATAAATTACATATAATTTATTATTCTCTACATAAATTATCCCATGTTGAACATACGAATATAAATATAATGAATAAGCCCTACTAAAGAAACAAATAACCATCAAATAAATTATTAGTCTAACATCTCAAGCCACAATAACACTAATTATATAGACCTCCCTAATAAAATTTAAAGACAAGGGGAAAGAAAAATTTATAGCACAATAAATTATTCACCATAATCTCAAAGAAGGGTAAATATTTAACATCCCTTTATTAAAAAATATTAATCGCCTCAATGATCGTTCATAATATAAATTTACTATAAAAAACAAACCAGAAGAACATAAACCATGAGAAATTATTAAAATATATGATCTAACAAACCCCAATTTTATTAAAGTGAATAAAGCACATAATATAACATTTATATGAACAACCGAAGAATAAGCTACTAACCTTTTTATATCAATCTGAACTAACCTAACTAATCTAACATAAATTCTCCCAATAATTCCTACACTTATAAAAATATACCTATACTTAAAAGACCATGAATAAAAAATCTCAATAAATCGCAATAATCCATATCTCCCTAATTTTAACAAAACTGCAGCTAAAATTATTGACCCATACACCGGAGCCTCAACATGAGCCTTAGGCAACCATAAATGAAATATGAACACCGGTATTTTAATTAAAAAAGCTATAAACAAAACCAAATAATCAATAAACCTTAAACCTAAATAATCTATCTTTAATAACTCCATCTCAAATGTCTGCCTGACCTTGAATAACTTCATAATATACGCTAACAACGGCAAAGAAATAAATATTGTATATATTAACAAATAAAATGAAGCTCTTAATCGCTCAAAATTATATCCCCAATAAATAATTATAATAAATGTAGGAATTAAACTTAGCTCAAAAAATAAATAAAATACTAATAGATTTCCTACCCTAAATCTTAATACTAAAATTAAACTTATAGCCAAAAATACTACTAACTTTATCCCAACTTTTCTTTGCAACTGAATAACTATTATTATTAATCCTAAGATTCACACCCTCAATAAAATTAAATAAAAAGAATAAAAATCAAATTTTCACATAAATCTAACCCTAATTCAGATTAAGTCTTTAAATATAAATTTAAACAAAAAAATTAATCTCATTAAAAAATATAATCTATAATATAGTATAACCTTTTTACTGTAAATTACTATAAAATTTATAAACAAAAAAAAAAAAATAATTTTTATCATACTAACAATAATTAAACTTACTTAAAACGATTAAAGATTTTACCTCACATTCTATTATCAAATAACATTAAACTTATAATATTAATTTTAAATACTTAAATAAAATAATTCTACCTATAAATTTAAAATTTTCTAAAATTAAAAACATAATACAATTCATTCCCATGATACCGCACAATTAAAACTAACAAAGACAGCCCCAAAACCCTCTCACAAACTATAAAAATCAAATAATAAATTATAAATAACTCTAACATCATTATCCTATAAATTAAATATATAATTATAGAAATATTTAAAATCATTAATTCAAAAACTATCAAAACCACCAATATAAACTTATATATAAAAATTAAACTTATAAAAATAATCATACATATATATATATAAATTAACAAATCAATTATAATTACTTACTTATATAATATTATTTTTTTTTTCTTATATAGTTTAAATTCCAATAAAACTTTAATTTTGTAAATTAATAATATTTTTAAAAATTATAAGAATATTAATTATATAATTTAGCTTAATTAAATTTCATATAAATTTTTAACAAATTTCAATAAAATTTAATTAAAAAAATTCTACTCAAAAAATATTAAAAACCTTTGCACTAATCAGTATCATCATTATTTTAATAATTACACCTTATAGCCAACACCTGTTAATAACCTTTAATTTCCAAAATTAATATTCTCTTCCTTAAACTATTTTTTGCCTTAAATTAATATCATAAATTATTCTTCAATATACCCCCCACTTTATACAAATATATTAAAATACCCCCTACTTTTATTATGTACCACTCCTATAATTACTTATATATGAATAAATACTTAATCTTTAACATTAATTACCTAATATACCTAATATTTTTTTTTATAATACTTTTATTCTTACTAAATATAAATAATCACCCTATTATAATCATGATTATTATTCTAATTTACAGCTCACTAATTTGTTTAAATATATCATTATGAAAATCAAATTATATTCTATCAATTTTTTTATTTTTAATAATAATTAGAGGATTACTGATTATCTTCCTCTATTTCTCTAGGCTAATCTCTAATGAACAATTTAAATTAAACCCTAAATTAACTATAATTATACTATTCCTAATCAATATTGCATTCCTTACCCATATCATAAAATTTAATCAAATAAATCTACTCATTTATAAATACAAATTCCACGAAAATTATCCTATCTTTAACATTAACAAATTTACATTTAATAATATTCTTAATTTATATGAATATCCTTTATCCAACCTCACTAGACTCTCTATATTTTATCTCCTTTTTTCTCTATTTATTATTATCAAAATCTGTTCATCAAAATCTATCTCTCTGCGAAAAATTACCTAACTATTATAATTATTATAAACTACTAATAATTATAATCTTTTACCCCCCCCCCCGTCATTTTCTTCCATTCTATGCACTTCCACTCCATCACAATTCTATGAATAAAAAAAATATTAATCTAAAATCATTTTTCAATAAATCTTTAATTAAACTCCCCACTCCAATCAATATCTCTTACTGATGAAATTTTGGATCTATTCTTGGATTATTCCTAATAATTCAAATTATCAGAGGATTTTTCCTATCAATGCACTATTGCCCCAACACAACACACGCTTTTAACAGAATCATTCATATTACACAAAACATTAATTTAGGTTGACTAATTCATAATATCCACATTAACGGGGCCTCTATATTTTTTATCTGTATATATATTCACATTGGCCGAGGACTGTACTACTCTTCATTCAACTTAACCAATACATGAATAATTGGAGTATCAATTTATATCATTTCAATAGCTACAGCCTTTCTAGGCTATGTTCTCCCATGAGGGCAAATATCCTTCTGAGGCGCCACAGTTATTACCAATCTTATAACAACAATCCCTTACATTGGTACCTCCACAGTTCAATGAGTCTGAGGGGGATTTTCTATTAATAACGCAACCCTTAACCGATTTTACTCCCTACACTTTATCCTACCATTCTTAATCATACTTATAGTAATTATTCACCTATACTTTCTCCACCAAACAGGCTCATCTAACCCCTTAGGTCTAAATAGAAACCTATTTAAAATATCCTTCCACCCTTATTTTTCCCTTAAAGATATATTTGGATTTATAATTATCATATTAATTTTTATAATCATCAATCTTGAATATCCTTACATTTTTAGAGACCCGGATAACTTCTCCGCAGCCAACCCAATAATTACCCCGACCCACATCCAACCAGAATGATACTTTCTATTTGCCTACGGAATTCTCCGATCTATCCCCAATAAACTAGGAGGGGTAATAGCTCTTATACTTTCAATTAGTATCTTATATATTATACCCCTTTTTAAGCCCATATTAATATCATTAAATTCATACCCGATTAATCAAATCTCATACTGAATTTACATTAATACCTTTATTTTACTTACATGAGCCGGAGCTCAAGTTATTGAACCCCCATTTATTATCATTAGTCAAATTCTCTCATTTTTCTACTTTACTTATTTTCTTACATTTATATTTCTAATAAAAACTTGAGACTCAATCCTCTTTAACTATAAACTTTAATTAAATCCTCATTTCAACAAATAAAAATAAATAAGTTAATGAACTTGACAAAAGTTTATATTTTGAAAATATAACAAAGAAACCTAAATTTTCTATTAACTTTTATTCTTATATTAACCTCCCCGTCTTCTCTCTATACACACCTAACATTAAATTTATTATAATAAAATAGCTACCAATAAGTACTTAAACCCTAAAATAAAACACATATACATTAAAACTACAGGTAAAACAATCTTTCAACATAAATACATTAATTCATCATACCGCATCCGAGGCAATAGTCCTCGTATCATGATAATCAACAAACATATAAAATTTACTCATAATGCCATAAAATAAATATTAAAACTAACATTTATAAATATTAAAACTATAATTATACTAAAGAATAAGATCATCCCATATTCCCTCAGAAAAATTAATACAAATCCGCCCCTAAAATACTCCACATTAAATCCAGAGACTAGCTCTGATTCCCCTTCAATAAAATCTATGGGACTTCGATTTAATTCTGCCAAAATCCTAATAAAAAAAACTAAAAACAATGGATATAAATAAACAATATACCAAAGATAATATTGAAAATAAACAAAACTATTAAAAGAATAACTCTCCCTCAAAATTATTAAAATTAAAATAATAAGAATAAACCTCACCTCATACGACAACATTTGAGATACTGAACGAATAGACCCTATTATTGAATACATGGAATTTGCAGACCATCCCAAATATACTACCACATAACCTATCACAGATAAGAAAATAATTATTAATAATAATGAATAATTTAAAAAATAAATATTAGTAATAAACGGATACAAAACTCACATTATTATTATTATTATAAATATAACAATAGGAGTAATATAATATAAATTATAATTTGATTTAAAAACAAAGAAAACCTCTTTTGTAACTAACTTAATAGCATCACTAAACGGCTGAAAAATTCCCACTAACCCAACTTTATTGGGCCCTTTTCGACTCTGAATATATCCTAAAACCTTTCGCTCCAATAACGTTAAATAAGCCACTCCCATTAATACTATTAAAATCAATAAAACTAATCTCAAAAATCTTAACTTAAAATACATTAAATTATTAATAATTATTACCTATATATTTTTTAATAAACATCTATCAAACAATTAATAAACTTTATTATTTTATTATATCTACTTAAATTCTAAATTTAATACACTGAATCTGCCAAAGTAATTTATTCAAAGCATACTAATATAAATACACTCATAAATTAAATTTATTATTATTCATACCTTAAAAAAAATTTTTAAATAATAAGTCCTTTCGTACAAAATTATTATTATATAATTATAGATAGAATCCGATCTGGCTCACACCGATCTAAACTCAAATCATGTAAAATTTTAATAGTCGAACAGACTAAAATATTAAACTTCTCCGTTTAATTTTTATTTTAATTCAACATCGAGGTCGCAATCATTCTTATCAATAAGATCTTTTTAAAAATATTACGCTGTTATCCCTGAGGTAATTACTTCTTTCATAGAATTATTCAATCCTAATCGTTTATCTAAATTTAAATCATAAATTAATGTTTTTTTTATTAAAGTTCATTAAATTTAACAATCCTCCCAACCAAATATAAACTCTAATTCTTGCAAGCTCTAAAATCAAAATCTATATAAAATTCTACAGGGTCTTCTCGTCCCACAATTACATTTTAGCATTCTTACTAAAAATTTAAGTTTTTAAAATTTTATTAAAGACAGTTTAAATCTCATTCATTCCTTCATACCAGTTCCCAATTAAGAAACAATTGATTATGCTACCTTCGCACAGTCAATATACTGCGGCTATTTAATTAATTTATAATCATGGAGCAGAATTTATTTTACACAAAACTCATAAAACTATGTTTTTATTAAACAGATAAACTTAAATTTAAATCAATTTTTTAAACCATCAATTTAAACAATTTTGCCTAATTCCTTTAATAAATTTTAAATAATATATTTAAAATTTTATTTATTTTTTTTTTCGATAATACTAATTTAATCATTTTTACTTTAAAAATTTAATTATTTTAAATATTTTTCTATTTCATTAAATTTTAAAATTTTACATAAATTTTAAATAATAAAAATAATAAAAATTTTATAAATTATTAAATTATTTACAATAAATTCAAATTTTATGAATATATTTATTATATGTATATATATATATAAAAATATTAATTATTTTTTTTTTAATTTAAATTTATAGTTTATCCCATAAATTTTTGATATATATTATAATTTTTAACTTTATATTAATTAATTTTTATTATTATTTTTTAAAATATTTTCATATTTTTAAATAATTTTAAAATAAAATTATAATTATTATATATTATATTATATTATTTATTATAATTACCAATAAATAAAATAAAATATCTATAAAATATATTTCTATATTCCACTAAATAGTAAATATATATATATATATATATTAAAATTAAATTTAATCAAAAAAAACTAGATATCAAAAAACTTGACTAAAATATCTTCTCTAAATAATCATTTAAAATAATATTATCACATTAACTTTCATAATCACTTAACTCTTTTTTTTTCGAGATTATTAAGAATTACTAATTTTTATTTAATTAACCCTGATACTAAAGGTACAACAATTAAAATTTACTTTTTTAAATCTTACAAATATTAAAATTATTTCTCATTTACATTACTTTTTTTATAATCTAAAATAATTATTTCAAATTAATTACTATAACTTATAAAATCAATTTATTATAACTTTAATCACACAATATACAATTATACAAAAAAAAATTAATTAATTAACCAATAAAAAAAATTTTAATATCAATTTTATTTAATCAATAATATTAATCTATTCAATGTAAACGAATTATTTTTCCTTAAACTAAAATTTTTATTATATCTAAGAACACTTTCCAGTACACTTACTTTGTTACGACTTTTCTCATATATTGAAAATGACGGGCAATTTGTACATACTTAAACTATTAATTCAACCTATAAATTTATATAAATTTACTTTTAAATCCATTTTCATCTATAAAATTAAATTATTAAAATTCAATTATTCAATTAATTGTAACTCATTAATATCTTAATTATTCTACATTTTGATTTGAATTATAATTTTTATTAAATTTTTCAATTAATACCTTTTAATATAATTTTACAACAACAATACATAAAATTTTTTAAACTAAGTTCCTCCATTCGTGGATTATCAATTTAATAAACAAGTTCCTCTAAATATTAAATACCGCCAAATTTTTTATTTTTAATGCTTAACATTTAATAATTTAATTAACTTTCAATTTAATAAAAATAATAGGGTATCTAATCCTACTTTATCACTAAATTTTTTTAAATTAATTAAGCAAATACATTCACTTATTACTTCTCAAATTTATACCCATATTTCACCATAAGTACATAATCTTAAAAATAATATTTTATATATTATTATAAAAAATATTATTTAAATTTTTTTTTATTTTTTCATTCTTTATTTCTTATTAAATAATTTTTAAACCAAAAATTATTTTCTAATCAAATAAAAAATTATAATATATTTTTATATATATATATATATATATATTTTATAATTAACAAAATTTATTTTTTATCATTAGTTTAACCGCAATTGCTGGCACTAATTTTTATTAATAAATCTACCAATAAATTTCTATTATTAATTTTCATTAATTTAAATTATTTTAAATATTAATTATCTTATAAAATTATTATAAATAAATTATTTAAATTTATTTATTTTAAAAAAAATTCAAAAAATTATTTATATTTAAATTACTTAAATAAATCTCAATAAAAAAATTAATTATTCATTTAGATTCTCTTTTATATATTTTTTATTTACCATTTATATCTTTTTCTCTCCCTTATTATTCTCTTTTATATATTTTTTATTTACCATTTATATCTTTTTCTCTCCCTTATTATTCTCTTTTATATATTTTTTATTTACCATTTATATCTTTTTCTCTCCCTTATTATTCTCTTTTATATATTTTTTATTTACCATTTATATCTTTTTCTCTCCCTTATTATTCTCTTTTATATATTTTTTATTTACCATTTATATCTTTTTCTCTCCCTTATTATTCTCTTTTATATATTTTTTATTTACCATTTATATCTTTTTCTCTCCCTTATTATTCTCTTTTATATATTTTTTATTTAAATTAATTAATTAATTTAATATTAATAATTTTAATCATTAATGTATATATATATATATATATATATATATATATATATATATATATATATATATATATATGTATATATATATATATAAATATCTATATATAAATTATTAATTAATTAATTAAATCAATAATGATTATTAATTATTAAATAATATATTTTAAAAGTTTAATTAATTATTTTAATTTATTTATGTTTTTATTAATATATATTTTCCTCTATTTTTTATTTAAATAATAATTAATTTTATTTTTAAAATTTAATAAGTATTAAATAATTAATAATATATAATAACTGTTATATTTATTATTAAAGATTAATATTTAATTATTAATAATTTTATGATATATATTACATTAAAGTATATTAAATAATAATATTTTAATTTATCTAATGATAAATTTAATTAATTTTGTTTTTTTACCCAAATATTTTCCTATTTACATATTTTACTTTTTAAAACACCCTATTTTAACTTTTATTACATTTTATCTCCATACTCTACCCATTTCTCCCTATCCTTAAATTATTCATAAACAACCTCAAAATCATAACTTCCTACTTTATTAAAATACATAAATAACTATACTTCTCTCACCCAATACTCTCCCCCCCTCTTCTCCTATAAAAAAATAACTATGGACTTATTATGTTGTTTTTACTAATAATTATTTTATAAATTATTCATTTTTCTCAATGATATGCCTGAACTAAAAGGATTATTTTGATAGAATAAATTATACATTTTACTAATGTTTTCATTACACCCTCTACTAAACAAATCTATAGCTTTAATAAATAAATAAGTAAGCTAATTTTAAGCTCTTAGGTTCATACCCTAAAAATAGATTATAATTAAAAATCATCTCTTATTTATCCTCTATAATTACATATTTATATATCTATATATTTATATATTTATATATTTATATATTTATATATTTATATATTTATATATTTATATATTTATATATTTATATATTTATATATTTATATATTTATATATTTATATATTTATATATTTATATATTTATATATTTATATATTTATATATTTATATATTTATATATTTATATATTTATATTTATATATTTATATATTTATATATTTATATATTTATATATTTATATATTTATATATTTATATATTTATATATTTATATATTTATAAATAAATATAAATAAATATAAATAAATATAAATAAATATAAATAAATATAAATAAATATAAATAAATATAAATTATTATCTTTAACTTATCTTAAAATTTTTCTTTTATATATCTAATAGACCCAATCTATTCCTTTAAAATTCAAAAATTTACATGCTTAACTACATTAAAATATAAAATTATTCAAATAAACATAATTGTTATTTTTAATAAAAATTTTTTAATTATTAATTTTAATTTATCTATCATATATATATATATATATATATATATATATATATATATATATATATATATATATATATATATTACAATTTTACATATAATTTTTTTAATTATTTTTTAGTAAAAAATTTTTTTATTTTTTTTAATATATTTTCTAAATTTTTTATCATCCTTAATATATTTTTATTTTCAGTATCATCTTTATTTTTAAATGATTTTTTTATCATTTGATTATTCATAGAAATTAATAATTTTATATTTATTAGATTAATGTGTCTAAAAATTTTCAATAAAAAAATTATTTTTTTTTTTTTTATCATTCAAACAATAGCATCTTTCCTTATCATCTTTTCCGTACTTTACAGATCCCTATTCTTTTCACAATTTAATCTCCCTATACTAATCCTAACCTTAGGCCTATCCATTAAATTAGGAATCCCCCCCTTCCACCTTTGAATAAT